GGAAACAAGAAAAAGAGATTGCAAGCCACTTATACATATGTGGTTCAAGTTCTGTATCTTTGTGGGCAAAAATGAGCTGGAAATATATTTTCCGTTTGCAATTAATGAGGGGCAGCCGGCCTTTTGAATTCAGAATTTTGGTTTTCATCAAGTAAATGAGTAAAATTTAGGCCTTTTTCATAATTGTCCATTAGCTATATTTTTTATCCCTCATCATTTTTTCTTTTTTATAAGTATTCAATAGCATTGAAGATACCTAACTACAATAAGAAAAGTGATAAATAACATTAGTTAGAACAAATCGAGGGTGCAAGAGAGATTAAAGATTGGAACAATTTATATCATGTAAAGACCAAGACAAACAACAATTGAGTACTAATTAAATAGTGACAACTAATGTTGCTGCTTACTTTTTCGGCATAGCCTTCTCATCAGATTTATAACTCCATTCTATTCCCTTAAGTGCAGCCTTCTCAAGAGGATCACCGACCTACAAGCAACAATGAATGATATAGTAACTAAAGCATAAGGCAGTTCAATACAAAAAAGTTTCAATTAGAGATCTGAAATATGAAATTCTCAGTGCTCAATAAACTTTTAACAAGGATTCTATATGTATTAGGTAGCTGCCTCTAAGCACAAGGCAGTTTAGTACCAAAAAGTTACAATTAGACAAGACTGGTTTGCTCATGATGTAGAGAATGCAATAAAAGATAGTGTCCAATCCTGCATCAAATCAATCTAAACAATACCTGCAGGATATGCGAGAAATGTCAATCAAATCTAGTAATAATTTTTTGGCTGATATGACTGAAGCCTCTCACCCAAGTCATTTTGTTTTGACATGTCCAGTTCTTTAAAAAAAAAAGTTTATTGTTTGGACAGTGCCCCATAATATAATAAGCTGGACAACTGATATTAGTGACTACCTCAGTGCTCAAAAAAGATAATTCAAATTTTCTAGGATATTACTTTCTGTGGGGAGTTGGTGGATCTTCTTGGCTGCCTTTATGCCATTCTCCACATTGGAGGGGAAGAGGATGGGATGCATTAAAGTAACAACTTATTATAAAGTCTTGAGCAGTCAACATTGATCTTTCTTTTTTTCTTGGGAAGGAGTTTGGGTCTAAGGCTCCAACTAAGGTGGCATTTTTTGTGGGGTAGGTTATGCTCCATCTGTTTTACATTGATTTTTTGTGAGGTAGGTTGACAGCAACGATTAGTAGCACCAGATCTTCGCAATTAATAGTCTTACA